TCCAAGGTTCATACATAGTGGCTTATAACAGAACAATTTTTAATTTTATGGCTGAAAAAATAATCCATTCTCTCTATGTAGCACATTTTATTTTTCCATTAATCTGTTGATAGATACTTGAGTTATTCCAGACTGCTAAGCAGAAGGCTGGCAGTTCAAACCCACCTGCCACTCCTCAGAAGGAAGATGGGGAAATCTACTTCTGTAGTGATACTGCCTCGGAAACCCAAGGAGGGGTCACTATGAGTCAGGTCCAACTCGATGGCTCATAACAACAACAACATAATGAACATAAGTGTACAAGTATCAGTTTGTGTTCAGCCTTCCATTCTTTCATACATACCTAAGAGTGGAATTGCTTCATCATAAGAAAGTTCTAAACTTCACTTTATGAGATTCTGTGAACTCTTCCAGAGCAGCTGCACCATTTCATAATCCCACCACCATTGGATTAGGAGTTAGTTTCTATGTGTCCTTACTAACATTTTTTCCCCCATTTTTGTGATAATAGACATCCTTATCTGTCCGTTTGTACTACTGTGGTAGCTCACATGTTTCTGTGATACTAGAAGCTATACCTCCTGTATTTCAAATACCAGTGAAGTCACTCATATTGGACTGATTTCAATGTAGCTTCCAGACCAAGATAGACTAGAAAGAAGGTAATAGCAATCTATTCATAAAATTATTGTCTTGTGAAATAATTATGAGTAGCAGCAGAACATTGTATGATTTTGAATCAGACAAGCATGTGGTCTACTATGCTGGGAATGACACATTGAAGAGAAATACTATCACACTTATTGTCAAAAAGAATATTTCATGATCCATCTGGATGTACAATGTTGTCACTGATAGGATGATATTCGTACGACTATAAGGAAGATCTGATAATATGCTTATTCAAATTTATGCACCATCAGTAACGCCAAAAATTAAGAAATTGACTTTTTTTTTTTTACCAATTGTGGCAGTCTGAAATTGGTCACGCATGCATTCAAGATGCATTGATAATTATTGGTGATTGAAATTTTAAAGTTGGAAATGAAGATGGCTCAGCAGCTGAAAAATATGCCTTGGTGATAGAAACTTTGCTGGAGAATTCATGATATAATTTTGCAAGACCAATTAATTATTTATTGCAAATATCTATTTTCAATGAGAAAAATGGTGGCTAGACACGTGGACCTTACCAGATGGAATATGTGGGGATACAGTCAACTGTATATGTGAAAGAGATGATGCAGAAACTCAGTATCATCAATGAGAATGAAGCTAGGGGCTGACGGTGGAACAGAGCATCAGTTGCTCATATGCAAATGTAAGTTAAAATTGAAAATTAAACAAGTTGATGGGAGCTAAAGTTTGACCTTGAGTATATCCCACCTGAATTTAGAAACCATCTCAAGAATAAACTTGACCCATTGAATACTAATGACCGAAGACCAGCTGAGTTGTGGGATTACTTCAAGGGAATAATACTTGAATAAAGCAAAAGTTTTTTATAAAGAAAGAAAAAATAAAAATATATGTTGAAGACCTTCTGATATTTGTCTTCAATATGGAATAGCTAAAGCAAATGGAAGATATGATGAAGTAAAGGAGCTGACCAGAAGATTTCAAAGGATAGTTCAAGAAGATAAAGTAAAGTATTATATTGAAATAAGCAAACAACTTGAGTTAGAAACCCAAAAAAGAAAATCCTTGTCATTTCTCAATCTGAAGGAAATGAGGAAGGGGTGGGAGGAATCAATGCTTGATTTGCAATGTTGAAGGATTCTAGGGCAAAAACACACAAAAAATCCCCACAACTGGACCAATAAGAGGCGTAATGATAAATGGAGGAAACATTGAAGTTATCAAGTATTTTGTTTTATTTGGATCCACAATCAACACCCATGGATGCAGCAATCAAGAAATCCAATGATTTATTGAGTTGAGCATATCTGCTGCAAAAGACTTCTTTAAACTGTTTAAGAGTAAAGATGTCACTTTGAAGATTAAGGTACACCTGACCCAAGCCATGGTATTTTCAATAACCTCATATGCATGTGAGACTGACTGTAAGGAAGACTGTAGAAAAGTTGGTACCATTGAATTGTAGTGTTGGCAAAATGTATTGAAGGTATCATGGACTATTAAAACTACAAACAAATCCATCTTAAAGGAAGTACAGCTGTAATAATCCTTAGAAGCGAGAATGGCAACACCTCATCTCTTGTACTTTGGTTGGTGAAAAAGGGGAAGAGCCTCCATAAGATGGGTTGACATGGTGGTTGCAGTGATGAGCTCAAGCATAAAGCAGTGATTGTGAGGATGGTGCAAGACTGGGCAATGTTTTCGTCTGTTGTACATAGGGTCACTAGAGTTGGAACCAACTTGATGGCATCTAACAAACAATGTCAGTGACAGTATGGGCAAAATTTGAGTGACACAGGAAGCATCAATGAAGACAGAAGGAATACACAGATTAACTTTACGAAAAAGAATTGGTTAATGTTGAATAATTTCAGAAAGTAGTAGAACTGATGGGACTGAAGGAATGGCCACATCTCATCTCTTGTACTTTGGTCATGTTGTCATAAGGGACCAAATCATGCTTGGAAAAGGATATCATGCTTGATAAAGTAGAGGGTTGAAACTGCACTGAAAGTATTGGCATAAAACAAGCCTCCAGGAATTGACAGAATATGAACTGAGAAGTTTAAACATATGGATGCAATACTGGAAGCACTCCCTAGTCTGTGCTAAGGTATTTGGAAGACAGTTACCTGACCAACGTACTGGAAGAGATTCGTATATGTGCCCATTCCAAAGAAAAGTGACCCAATGGAAGGTGGGATGTATCAAACAATATCATTAATAACACCGAGAAGTAAAATATTACTAATGATAATTCAAAAATTATTATATGCAGCATGTCAACAGGGAACTGCCAGAATTGGAAGCTAAGATTCATAAGAGGATGTGTAACAAATGATATCATTGCCATTGGATCTCCCTGAAAGTAGAAAATACCATAAATGTACAGGGGTTTCTTTGAAACAGATCAAAACAACTTTTGAGTTATCATTAGCAATATTTTACTTCTCAATGAAGTGTCATATCACTTTCTATAGTGGTTGTAACATTTTACAGTCCCTCAAGCAGGGTATTAGGGTCCCAGTCTCTCCATACCTTCACCAGCATTTGTTATTTTCTATTTTCTTGAACTTTGCTATTAATGCTGGGATACAATGATATCTCATTGTTGTTTGAATTTGAATCTCTCTGATGGCTTGTGATTGGAAGCATTTCTTCATGAAAACACACATCTTTTAACTCAAACATTTTCAGATGTATTTTCTTGTTAGTAGGTATAATTGCTATTTTTAAAAAAGTTTACCTACACTAAAACATCAAGCAACCAGATTTGCAGTACAGGTGTGAAAACAATCATATTTAGATTATTGTTATAATAGAAATCTGTCTGACAATCATCCTCAGCCATTAAGTCTCCATGAGAGAACTTCAGAACATGTCAACCCTGAGGATTAATTGTTACCCTAAATTGTCTGATGAGTAGGAAATACTGCCTTTTCCTAATCTTTCACTGATAATACAAAATATATTATTTAGCTTAAGGCATTCATTAATTAGTCAATTTTAATTTAGAGACTAAATAAAATCTTCATTAAGCCTGAGAAACTGTGGCCTCTGGTAAACACAGTGCATTTTCACACAAAATCAAATTGAGTTCTGTATTAGATGCTTCTTACCCTGCCAGGATCCAAGTAAAGATTCAGAAGGATAGTCCATATCAGGGAATGAAGTATCTCTGCAAAAGAGGAAGAAAAACTTTAGCCCAGAGGTTTACATGTCAAACATAAAAAAATGAGAAGAAAAGAACTTGATAACTAAAATATCTCATATTTCACACTACCAATTTATGGATGGGAAAAAAAGCATTATTTATCTATGGGAAAATCTATAGATACTTTATTTACTCTAGAAAGTTTCTGAGTAAAATTCACAATAATATGGCCATTCTGTGCTTCTTTGTCCTTTTTGTTTGTATTTTTCTCATGATTACAAAAGGCTACTGTCCTTAGTTCAACTTTCATAAATGATTCCTAAGTTACTATTTCTACTTAAATAGTGGTATTTAATAGTTCTGTTTGGATGTTTAAAGTTATTATTTCATATTGTTAAGGTATTGCATTTGTGATCAGTCATCTATCCTGAATCATGTTATTATGTATCTTATCAATATCTTACAATTATTTTATTACTGTGTTATTAATATCTTTCTTTCTTTGAACTTAGAAGCATAAAAGTAGATCCTTAAAAATGGTTCTTCTTACAGGGTTAGTAATATTACTATATTATTTTACATAAAATTTATTTTTATATATTTTAATCATTTAATATTAAAAATTGTAGTCATATTTTTAGGCTTAGCTAAATAGTAACATTTCAACAACACTTGACACTGCTTTTAAAGCTGTCTGTCATGAAAATTACTGCATTTGTTTTACAGTTATCTAATAAGAATCTGTGATTATATTTTCTTAAATTTATTTTTGTAATGGTAATGAGCTGTTTCTATCTAATAAAATCCTATGGGGCAGTTCTACTCTGTCGTAGAGTCATTATGAGTGAGAATAGACTCAATGACAGTGAATTTTTTAAAAATCTTTATTTTTATTCATATTGGCAATATACTGTACTTCAGTTCTTGTTACTTAACTAATACTTAATTTCTAACACAAAACAATGATATGTTCAATATAATATTAAATTAGTTAATATGACAAAACTGAATGCATTTATATTTTTCTCTATTTTTAAAAGTTCACTACAGATAATCCTTAATAAATCTAAATCCTTACATCAACCACAACTCTATTTAAATCTGTATAACAGGAGCTAGAATAAAATTAGTCTTAATATTGATAATGATTTGACTTTGTATAGACTTATTATTTCTTCTTTTCTTTTCTTTTGACTTCAGATGTAATAATAGAACCCAGTGTGCAGTGGTGGCAGGTCCTGACGTTTTTCCAGATCCATGTCCGGGAACTTATAAATACCTTGAAGTGCAGTATGAATGTGTCCCTTACAGTATGTATTTTACTGAACTTTTCTTATAAAAAAGAAAATATATTAAGTTTTGGTTTGCATGTATTGACAAAATATTCTCTGTGAAGACAAAGTATAACCACATAATTTAAATGAAAAAAAAAAATGCTTTGTTTTAATTTGATGATGAAAAACCCTCTTTCATTCACTGTAAAAGTTAGTCGTTGCCTGTATGGTGTTGCCTCATTTAGTTTTGACTATACATTTGTGTGTATCCATACTTATTCTAAAATTCTCTTTATTTAATGTAATAAATAGAATATACATTTTAGAAACTGATGGTGTGGTATGCCAATACTGCATCTCTTTAAATCTAGCAAATAAGAAGTGAAAGAAAGTATTATACTTGTATATTTGAGGGCATAGAAATTTGTAGATTTTGAATTTGATACAAGTAATTATACCCAAGTTTTCTTTGCTGTCAACATTTTGAGGATGAGAAATACATTCATCCAGAGACAGCTGAGTGAAAGTGCAAGACTTGCATAACTACAGCTCTCTACAGAATGCATCTTTTACAGCATTGGGAAGTTTCTGTGCATCCTTTATGTGGTTGTATGCCAACATATTTTTACATATTTTATGTATGTTTTCTTCAGGAGCAAAGAAAAATAAAACAAACTAAAATCCAACATTTTCTGACTTTTCTACCCAAAGGAATGATAAAATTCTTGAATAAAGATATTTTTGATCTAATTAGTTAGTTATTAATTAATTTCTCAGTGACTATCACTCAGAAAATCCTGTATTTTCATATTAAATATTCAGTTCAAGCCAGAGGTAGAAAACACCTGGGATTAAAGTAAATCCCAGGTTCCAGCTTCCATTGACATTTCAGAAGCAGCAAAGTAGGGATCAGCAAGTTTACTGTGCAAGGGAAAGTTCTTAATTTGCCTCATTCATGTATACTTAAGAAGAGGACATTATGTTTGGGCTCTAGGTGTGCATACATACTTAAGGAACAGAGTGCAATTTGGCCAGGAAGAGATATATTGAAATTGAAAAATAATGAAAACAATTAATAGAAAATTTTATTTTTGCTTTATTTATATTGTGATTAGAAAGGAGTTTACTGAAGTTTCATAAGCTCATATTTTGTTTTGAAAACCTTATGTGTACAGGTTTTTTTTGAAATCTCAATTGAGGTTTTGCTTCTTACATTGCTATTTCTAGGTACCTTTCTTTGAAAATATAAAGCTCCTATTGACCATTCATTATTCACTAATGATATTTTAAAGAAATAAAATTTGAAGTCTAAAATTTACCTGGATTGCATAATAAGATCTTTATGAAATATGTAGAATAGCTGTTCCCAAAGGAATTTTATGAACATATACAATAAGATGTACCTAATTTTAAAGATAATTTTAGTATATTTATATATAGATATATATTTTTTCATATTTCTTAAGCATGATGTTGAGGTGAAAATGTCAAATTGTCAAAAATTTGAAAAATAGACACATTCACAGCTGTCTCTTCAATTGTCTACATTTCTTAAGAATTTCTTTGAGTATAGCTACTCAAAATTATCCGCCACATGCATTCTGAAATGTCCTTTGTTTAAAAAACTTCAATATAAATAAAAACTTGCTCGTATATTTTTGCATTAAAGGATTATGGTTAGCATATTTCATCTCTTACAAAATTTTTAAGAGATTGGCAATTTGGATGCTGAATATGCGATATGTACAGGTTCCCACTAATCTTAGAAGTACATCCATAGTATATTAAAATCTTTATTTGATTGTTTAATTAAATGAGAATTATAAACTCATGTGTACCTACTTGACAATTTATACACTGTTTCATTTTTGGGGGGTATAGCATGATCATGTTTGGTGAAATTCTCTTCATTAGGTTTCAGTTAGAAAGTGTAATACATAAATGGGAATTCATTTAGTAAATTTAACATAATCAATATTAAAAACAAATTAGAAGAAAATATAAGCTATCATGACTCAATTTGAAATGTACATTGGTTTAGTAGAAACAGGACCAGAGATTGAAAAACACCTGAGTTCCTTAGCTTAGGGAAATACTGAATTTTCTTATAGGCCTTCCTTGAGTTAAAAGTAAGACCTTACTTAGATCAACATTAAGATCTCTTTGTCTTCTCAAGCAAAAAATATGTGGAATTTTCCAGTGGTGAAAATATTTATTTAAAATAATTATCATTTATGAAACCTATTGCTTGGCATGTACTACATGGGTTTAAATATTTACATATATCATATTATTTAATTCATACAAGACCCTTCATTTTATTGAAGAGGAAACTGAAGCTTAATGTGTTAAGTAAAGGTCCCATGTAGAATATAGAATGCTTGGAGAAAATAAAGCAAAGACTGGAGTCAGGTATCTCTGTCTTTAATACCTGTTATTAAGTATTCCACTGTAATTCTCCATGTAGATTTTTCTTCTTGTATTTTTGTAAGTTGATCAGTGTTATTTACTGTTTATCTCTTATCATTTTCATTAGTACAATAATGGCACGTGGTGAAAGCAAGTTATTCAAGGGCCCAAACCCTTGTTTTAGTCCATTAGCTACTTATTTTAAGGACTTTATGTTCTTTTCTTAAATCAACTGAATTACTTTTCTTTTCTCCAAATAATTTCATGATGCTATAAACTAATTTATTTCATAAAAATTCTACCTACAATTTAGGAAGAGATTTTTATCTAAGTAGATATTAATGAAGTTTTTTAATCACCTGTAATCTAAGAGAAAATTCTTATATTTAGAGATATCTTTGTGATGCTTCATAAAAGACCTTCATTGCATTAGTAGAATGCAAAGCATCAGCTTTAGCAAACCCAAGAAAAGAAAACTCAACTGCTGTCAAGTCAGTCCTGACTCATAGTGACCCCTGCCCAGTCTTCTTTCCAAGGAGTGGCTGGGGGTTTGAACCACCAGCCTTCTGATTAGCAGCAGGTGCCTTAGTCAGTATTAATATTTGAACATTTTCTTAGTGAACAACTTAATAAACAAACAAACATATTATTAGGTTCATTTTGTTATATAGTTCAGTAATATCCATTACTTTGTATATTTAAGATCACAGACTTTGTTTAATTTAGTAACATATGTAGTAGCTATAAGGAGCTCTGGTAGCATAGGGCCTAAGGCACTTGACAGCTAACCAGGAGGCTGGTGGTTCAAACCCACCAGCCACTCCTCAGAAGGAAGGTTGGGCAATCTACTTCTGTAGTGATACTGCCTCAGAAACCCAAGGAGGGTTCGCTATGAGTCGGGGCTGACTCAATGGCACATAACAACAACAACATGTAGTAGCTATAAGCCTTTTCTTAATGCTGATATGTGGAAGAAATACTATTATTCACACTTTCTTTATTATACTATGTGTTTGTGCTTGCACGCATGTTTCCATAGCAGTATTGATTTTTAAATTGATACTTTTCATGGAAAAATAGAGAAAAACGAAATTTTGTACAAAAGATATCAATCATAATAAAGTATACTAGTAGGGATTATCTGGTAGCATAGTGTCTCAGGCATTTGACTGCTAACCAGAAGGCTGGCAGTTCTCACTCACCAGCCACTCCTCGGAAGGAGATTGGGCAATCCACTCCCGTAGTGATACCACTTCCAAAACCCAAGGAGGGGTTGCTATGAGTCGGATCTGACTCGATAGTAGTGAGTTGTTTTTTTTTTTTTTGGTTTAGGAGAAATATAGGCCAGTATTTAATAAAGTTCATTGTATTACATGATAGAAGAATAATTTAAAAATACCTAAAGGAAGTTTATAATAATTGTTATACAGGATTAAAGCAAAACAAAACAAACCTATTGTCATCAAGTTAATTCCAACTCACAGCCACCCTATAGAACAGAGCAGAGCTGCCCTATAGGATTTCCAAGGTTATAATCTCTACAAAAGCAGACTGCCACATTTTCTCCCACAGAGCAATTGGTAGGTTCGAACCACAGACCTTTTTGTTAACAGCAGAGTGTTTAACCACTGTACCACCTGGGCTCCTTTGTACATGATTTTTGGCGTTAGAAAATAGGTACACAATTGAACAATGACAATTTTAGGGAAACATTACCATGAGTCAAACAACTCATTTGACATTTTAAAAGAGATTATTGATGAGAGAGAAGAAAAATAAACTATTTGAAGTATAAACATTTGAGTGAGGCCCACTTAATTTTGAGTATCTTATACTTAATTTTTCAGTCATTAACATTATATTTACTCATTCCAAGTTTTCTCTTCTTATTCCTAGTCTAAATATTGTCCTTTGAGTTCATGGGCACCCTATTTCTGATCAAATATAGGACAAGTGGATCAATACTTTTCTCTATTTTCTGTCACATCTTAGTTTCACTGTGACTTTGCATTTTCTTTTAAAGTTTAATTTTCCTTCTTAGTGAATATTTTCTTCCCAGGACATGATCTAAATATTCAAGATATTAAGCCTCACCATTGACCAATGCCTGATTTTCATCTTCCATTCTTCAATCTTTTCCTTACTCCACGCTAATCCCCTCTGACTTGATTTGTGATGAAAGTTGTGGCATCTTCAAACCCAGTTTCCCTAATTTAGTCAGGAATGACTTATGTTAGGGCAAAAAACAGTAGCTACTAGCTGCCTACTTGGAATACTTCTGTGCAAAGAGTCTTTACTGTGTCACCTGCTGACAAATTGTCTTTTTTTCCAAGGCATACAATTTCATGCACATTACACTAAAAAACTGGTGGTCTTCCTTCAGAAATCAGATATTCTCTTTAGTGTTTTGTTTCCTTCTCTCAGTAATACAAAGCACCTATTACTTAGTCTAATAATCTTGTCTTGTGATGGTATTTCTTAGGAAATGAAGAAAGTAAAGTTCATAATTTGGGGAACTATTGGGAAAGAGTGTTTATTAAACCAATCTTAGCTCTTTATAGCACTTAGAGATGTTTTCATTATGCACATTGGCCATCTGTATACTTGTGTAGGTGATTATCTTTATA